CAATCGATCAATCTGTAAATGTCCTCCTATTCTAGATTCTCTTTTGTTGTCACGGAAGCCTTATATATATATATATATATATATATATATATGTATATGTAAGTATACTCGTTTCGAAAAACCTTTGAATTTTTGATTTGCCAATAATCAAATCAATCTCAAGGGAAAAAAATGGTTTTAAGGAAAGAAAGAGTTAGAAACATGAAAGTCTGTCGAAAAAAATCGCACAGATACAGGTTTGAAGCCCAAAGAAAAAAAACCGACACAAGTAAACAACTAACTAACAAAAGAGCTCAATACAACCGTAGAGCAGACCTAGATAAACCTAGTGAGCCAGAGAAACCTACCCAGGTTTCACCTAAGCGGTTTCTCTCTGCAAAATCCATGTATTGAACATTTGATTTTATTGTCAAAATAGCATTTTTATAGTGTTATTGTATTGTTGCTATTAAGTTTTTATAATATTGCTATTGTGAAATAAAAACTCTTATATAAACCAGGACATTCTATGATTGAGACCTTCTGAAAAGTAACCGGACTGGATGTGCTGTGTGAGCTCTGGGCAAAAGAGGGATAAGGGATTGTGTTATCATCTAACATATATATTATATATATATATATATATATATATATATATATATATATATATATATATATATAACATTATATAACATATAATATATATTATTACAGTATATAACTGTAATCTTAGCCTTTTTTACAACCACTGCATTTTTTCACATACTTTTGTGACAGGAAAAATCGTAACTGCTTCACGACAACAATGCATCTGCTCACAACGCCCTGAGCATCCGGCAATTCCTGACCGAGAAGAACATCGCCGTACTGGAACAACTTCCCTATTCACCTGATCTTGTTTCGCGTGACTTTTTTCTTTTCCCCAAACTTAAGAGGATCATCAAGGGGACCCTTTTTTAAAGGATTGAACGCCATAACGATGGAGCTGAGAGACATCCAAGAAGACATCAGTCCCGTTACTTTTCAGACAGACATCGTGTAAGCCAGTACTACACGTGCATTGTATGGGCGTTGGTGGTCAAGTCGTTGGAACGTTCGCTTTCCGACCATTAGATGACTAGAACGCTACCTGAAACAGTCTGAGAGAAGTTAATATAAAGGCTGGCTCAAAGTACAAGCAATTCAGGAGGTCTCCTGGGGCGCTATCAAGGCCGAGGGCGCCGTCATGCCACAATGTGTTTGGGATCTTCCAAACAAAAAGGAAAAAATGTGAAAATAATAAATAAATGAAATAAATAAAAAAAAAATTAAATTTCTTCAGTGGAGTCAAATTTTTGAGAATATCGGTATTTCTTTCCATGTGATGATCAAACACCATAAGAGAAAAAATGAATAAGCGGGCGACGCGGATATAATGATTGTTTTCGTCCACAAGACTTGCCATAACTGTTAGGTTTATTTGTCACTATTAATGATGCTGTAATGATCTTTGAATGATATGAATGTAGAAAGTGCCATAAAAAGGTTTACAGATCTAAAAGCTAGAAAAATGTCTTAGGTCGTATAATGAATGTTTCCTTTAGCTTGTGTTAAGTTGTATATTGTAATAAAATCGTTATTCGACATTTTTCAGTATGATCTTCTTGTAACCTTTGCATGTATAATTATTTTTTTTTTTTGTTTTTTTTTAATTTCACAAGGATTTAAGGAACTAAGGAAGCCGAAGTTTAGCATGCCAGCGGTGCCAGAAACCCTAGGGCCGGTTAACGTTGTGAAGCGTTTTATGTTCTGTCTCGGTAATCTAATCGTTAAACTCTTGACTGAAACATGGTTGGAACTGTGTAGCGAAAAAAAAACATATTTTAAATCAATTAATTTATAATATATATATATATATATATATATATATATATATATATATGTGTGTGTGTGTGTGTGTGTGTGTGTGTGTGTGTGTGTGTGTTTTGTGTGTGTGTGTGTGTCTGATTGAGTAAATTACAGATATTATGTCTGCTAATTTTTAACAACATCCGTTCACACTCACAAATAACCTTCCGTGTATTGATATTAAAGGATTAGAGAAATGTGCTATAACTGTTCAAATTTCTTTTATTTTTATTTCCCAAGTACTTTCGATCTATATATATATATATATATATATATATATATATATATATATATCTTAATATTCGGCATTATGAGGGGCAAGCAGATCAGTTCTCAGTTCCTAGGAACCGATAGCCCAGACACCAGCACATGGGATTTTATTATAACGGTGAAGGTTTTGTGCAGAACCAACCACACTTTTTGAAGGGTCGATTACAGAGACCTGGTGCACTACGTGCCACAAGGTCCCCAAACGACCCTCCGCAGGTTTTGAATTCAGAGTTTTCTTTCTCCTAGACCAGATGCCATCCAAGGCTATAGAACCCAGTATGTCCTGCTATTTACCCATAGCTGGAGGGAGAAGAAGAGGATTCATATCTTTCCCAAGGGTATTAGCACTTGGTAAACTCCGCTGTTTTATAACTGTTTGATAAAGAAAAAAAATCAACCGACAAAAATTGCAAATTGTTAGCCTTATGTTGATTATAAAAGCAATATTTTCCTACTTGGTATCTAGGGCTGTAATTATGCATAAATCTTTTTGATATGTTCGTCATGCCCGTAGACAGAACTTAATTTTATACAAAAAATGATGGGGACAATATTCACATTTGGCAGAGCTTGATCGATGTCACAATCCACTTCGATAAGGACATAAAGCTGTTTGGAATTATTGGTAAAAACATGCAAATATTTTTTCGAAGAGCTCTAAACAATAGGCATCCACCCATGTCAATGGCACGAAGCTACAACTGAATCTTCAGTGGGAGAACAATGCAATGAATTGCCAAATCTTCAACACATTTGAAGAGGGATCTACAGACCATCGGATTGTCTCTTCCACCATCCGTGTAAGCATTAGAACCAGGAAGAAAAAGCAGTCTGCTTTCCTATCTAGCAGCAAATATGCGGTAATGGATAACTATTTATATTTGAGCCTATTAGTATTCACTTAGCGTTGCACTAGTTCCTTTGATGTAGTGCTACCAATGAGAATATGAGCACTGGCTTTTAGAGTACTGCTAATTTTTAGTAATGATAAAAATCCGGACTACATTCATTTATATATGCTGTTCAAATTCTCTGAATTTTGGAATTGTCATTATTCAGTATTTTTCCACTATCTCACTTTAATTCTAGAAGTTACAACGGCTTTGAGACCCTGTTTAAAATAATCCCTCAAAATTACTAGAATCTTAGATCATTAGAACGAGTAATTAAATGAGATATAACATGAATTATATATTGGAGTTATAGTTAATTTTTATATGTACTTTAAATAAACATTGTAGTAAAAGTCTGTTGAAAATGAAAATACTTTTGATACATCTTAATAAAATCAATTCTTTTACCCGTACACAAATAATTAAACGGTAAATATTTCAACAGCGAATGAACGATTGTAATTACTGTAAACTATTCACCATGTTTTGACAACGACTAAAAGCGGGAATAATAAAATTTAAAAAAATGTTTTTGTTTAGATTCTCTTTTAAAATCTTTAACTTTTTTGTTGTTGTTTAGCACTGTCTAAATGATCCCTCTCTAGAGCGATCTACTTTACGTAATTGTTTTTACGCTAACTTTGAGGGAAAAAAAAAGATCATATTTCATCTCACCTTATTTCACGATGAGTACATAAATAAATAAATAAATTCTATAGACAACAATAAATAATCATTAGAAAGTTATAAAGGAACGTTACAATTCCCGTCATTTTGATTAATTTCCCGCCAGGCGACTATTCAATGGAAATGAAAAAGTTAAACATGGCCGCTACAGCAACATCAATTTTTACAGTTTTGTTTTTCATTTTATTTTATGTTACTTTCATTTTATTTTGGGTTACTTTCATTTCATTTAATACAATTTGTATTATTATTATTAATACTATTATTATTATTATTTACATTTCTAATACTACGTAATTCAAAGAATTAATTCTTCTGTTAAACATTTTAACTTGGGTTCAGGCAATGCTTAAATTAACTTTTATAATTTATTTTGTTTCGAAAACTTGATGAACATAGACGCTATCAAAATATTAGACTACTATAACCATGATTGGTTTTCTCATGTCTTTTAAAATCGTCCCTTTGGGCTTAGACACAGAAATTTCGTAAATATATCCGGCTAATGCTTAAAATGAGAGCGGCATATGTCCGTACTACAGGAAGTTCAATGCTCTATAACAGAACTTCTGAGTAAACAGATAGATAGATAGATAAATAGATAGATAGATAGATAGATAGATAGATAGATAGATAGATACGAGCAGACTGAAATAGATAGATAGATAGATAGATAGATAGATAGATAGATAGATAGATAGATAGATAGATACGAGCAGACTGAAATAGATAGATAGATAGATAGATAGATAGATAGATAGATAGATAGATAGATAGATAGATACGAGCAGACTGAAATAGATAGATAGATAGATAGATAGATAAGAGCAGACTGAAATAGATAGATAGATAGATAGATACGAGCAGACTGAAATAGATAGATAGATAGATAGATAGATAGATAGATAGATAGATAGATACGAGCAGACTGAAATAGATAGATAGATAGATAGATAGATAGATAGATAGAGCAGACTGAAATAGATAGATAGATAGATAGATAGATAGATAGATAGATAGATAGATAGATAGATCAGACTGAAATAGATAGATAGATAGATAGATAGATAGAGCAGACTGAAATAGATAGATAGATAGATAGATAGATAGAGCAGACTGAAATAGATAGATAGATAGATAGATAGATAGATAGATAGATAGATAGATAGATAGATAGATAGATACGAGCAGACTGAAATAGATAGATAGATAGATAGATAGATAGATAGATAGATAGATAGATAGATAGATAGATAGATTTGATTACTGATTACGACAGCATCACGTTGAAACATCGGTTCCCGTAAGATCACCGAAGATAAGCAACGTTGAACTTGGTCTGTACTTAGATGTGTGAGCACTTGGGAATACCAGGTGTTGTAAGCTTGGATGTGCGGAAGGTGTAATGGATAATGAATCGAAATTGTTAATCGGAGAGCCGAGTTCCAATTCCCGTTTGGTTTGTAATATTCACTTACGCGCAAATTAGCTTAGGAATCCACCTCTCCTACCCCCAACTATGGGGTAACTATTAAAAATACACTCCCTCCACCACAAGATGTCTCGGTAGATGTAAATAAATATACTGTTTAATAAATTAATAAAAACAGGGCATCTACTCAAATATGAGTATCCATTTTAAAAAAAACAACGTTTAGTCAAATAAACTAAAGATTTAATCCATTTACTAATATATATATATATATATATATATATATATATATATATATATATATTATGAAATGGACAAAGTCCGATTATTTTAAGACATTTTATGTTTATACATTCTTTTTATAGATACAAATATTTAAGTAAATTCTCTGTTTATAAGAAACAGTATTAAATGTTTAATACTGTTTCTTATAAACAGAATTTACTTAAATATTTGTATCGATGAAAAGAATGTATAAACATAAAAGTGTCTTAATAGATAGATAGATAGATAGATAGATAGATAGATAGATAGATATCTTTAATCAGTTCTCCTCAAGCAAATAGAAGTGATAGAGAAGGGAAAAGACTTTAGAAGGACCGGAGACCTAATAATAGTGTAAATTTCAGAGTTTAGGCGGAGACATTAGGAGTATAGAGAAGGAACCGGAAACCAAATCCTAGACAGGAAACAAGCGAGGGGAGAATTGTGAACCGGACGATACATATATATATATATATATATATATATATATATATATATAAAATAAAAAAAGAACAGTAAGATATATAATCCGGTGTTCTTATTGATATTTTTATTTTTATTTTTGCAAAACAGTGCTCAATGTAAATTTACAGAGTATAAATATTATAAATGAACTGATTGAAAATATGTTTTTTTTCGCTACACAGTAATAACCATGTTTCAAAAATGGAATCTAAAAGATAACTGTTAACTCTGAACATAAAGTTGTGAAGATTATAGTGATTGGAAAAACGTCTTACCTGGAGTTTGTTCCACAAAGCAACAGTTTTTAGGAAGAAGCTGATCGATTGAATCTTTGATAGATTACGATGAATGCTGTGTGTTTCAGAAGAGCCGTCATATGAAAACCCATGTGCAAGCTGAAGAGACCTTACAAAACAGGCCAGGCCCTATACAGAACAACTTAGTTTGCCGCTTCTGCAATAAACAGCGATTGTTGTCCGAGCCAGAGGTAAACCTTGAATCAAACTTGTCAGCTATTGTCATACTCGTTGAGCAAGTCGACACCCATCATGTGTATATATATATATATATATATATATATATATATATATATATATATATATATATATATATATATATATGCATTACGTACGCATTACTATGTATTACACCAGCGGTTGGCAAATAATTTTACCACATCACTACTATTTCCAGGGATGATGTAACTTTACATATACTCACATGACATTACTTAATATCGATTGTATTTTAGGTAACTTTGAAAATATTAATAGAAACGTATAGCTCTGAATCGTACCTTTATTATTTTCTACAAAAGGACATTCTTGACCATGGGACAGTCAGTAAAACAAGCAAATCATTCAAAACAGCAATTATGAAAAAAAAAACGTGAAAAATCCAATTTTTAATCCAGTTGTACATCCTTTTCCTCTATAAAAGTAAAAAGTTAATATCGGATTGGTTGCGCCGCAGGCACGAACGCTAGACCTTGGTTTTTATAGGCAACTTCCGGTTACACTTAAGGTACCCCCATAAATTTAAAATTTTACTCTATCTCGAGTAATTTACGCCATTTTGTCAAACGCTGTATCACACTTAAAATTTGTTTCTCATTGCTTCTTTTCAAGCAGTAGATGGGAAACGCCCGCAAGAGGTCGTAGAACCGTTCATTCAGTTTCCTCGCATTTTAGGCTTTCTAAAGGTGCAATGGTGATGTAGTGAATAGCAGCACGGAATGAGTTATCGGGGAGCTGAGTTCGAATGCTGGTCAGGTTTGGTACATTCACTTACACGCAAATACTTTCGGGAAAACTATGTATCCATATCTCCCCGCCAGCGATGAGTTAAATTGTAGCGATTTCATCTGGAAATTTTTTTTGTTATTCTAAACCAATTGTTATATTTACTCGAAAGCAAAACAAAAAAGGAATTATTCTTAATAAGAAATATGTTTCGGTTTTAAATCACCAACAAAGGTTTGATAAGCTGTAAAAAAATAACAAAACAACAACAAATAAAAATATACTGTAAACAAAATGCCAATAGGAATAGATAGGTTCGCCTATCGTTCGGTTCACACTCCTCCCTATCTTTTGAACAGGAGAAAAGGTTTATCCGTTGTTTCCTGTTTAGAACTGGGTTTCGGGTCCCTTCTAAAGTCTCTTTCACTCCCAGTAACCCTTTGCCACTTAGTGGAATTATCACCTTGCTTTGAGGTAAATTGATTTAATACACACACACACACACACACACACACACACACACACATATATATATATATATATATATATATATATATATATATATATATATATATATATATATATATGAAGAATAATATTCACATACGTGTACAATATTCAAAGTGTGTGTGTATGTTTTTAAAACTTCTTTTTGGTTTAAATTCTTTACTGTTCTTATGCCAACGGGTTCCAGTGAAGATTATAGAAGCAGTGAAACAAGAAATTACTTTCGAAAACAGGGAGATGATTTTATTTTCATTTATAAATGGCATGGAGCGAAATCTGTGTAAGTTTATTCCGGTGAGCGACTTTTGTTAATTTACCGAAGTGATTTCTAGCACGCTTCATATTCAAACACGTTAGGGAAACAAAGTCCATTTTCTCAAAGAATCATTGTTTGCACGCCATCTTTGTTATTAAACGCTTCGTTATCGACGCCAAAAAAAAAAAAAACACAGAACGATGTGTTTGTTGCATTAATTTCTATTAGCGAAAATTCATTGCAAGCTGAATTCAGATTCTCTTCGTAATTTGGTGTTGGCATCTTTTTTTCGCCTTAAATTTATTAACAAACACGATAAACAAGTGGTTCTCCGAAAACACATTTTCCCTTAGATCTCAGTCTTCCTCAAGTCCTCCAGATTTTTTATTTCTTATCTTGTATTTTATTTTCATCGTTATAAGCATATTCCATAAGTACAATACAGTGATCGCCAAAATTATTGACAAGGTTCAATAAAAAAAATTGTGGGTTTAAGTAAATTTTGGCGTGGTATATAGAAACTTCGTATGTATTGATCCCAACAAAATTATTTAAATAAAACACAAACAATTAAACAACAATTATTGTAAAGATAAAATTATTGGCCCGGTTACAATTCATGTATTTATGAAAAGCTTATTGATATACAGCGTCTAAAAGATTCTTTTTCCTGAATAATGTTGCCTATATTAAAATTAGAATTATGAAAAAAGGTGAAAGAAGAAGAAGAAGAAGAAGAAGAAGAAGAAGAAGAAGAAGAAGAAGAAGAAGTTTTCAAGAGAAGGACGAATTTATAGAATAACGAAGAAGGAGAAGAATTTTAAAAATTATAATTTGAAGAAGACCGTTCATGGTAAAAGAGAGGAAAAATCTAAAGAAAAAATTTAAAGAAATTTTAAGGAGAGGAAGAATTCAATGAAGAAGAATTCAAAGAAGAATATGAATTCAAAGAAGAAGAATTTAAAGAAGAAGATGAATTTAAAGAAGAAGATGAATTCAAAGAGGAAGAAGAATTCAAAGAAGGTGAAGAATCTGAAGAAAAAGAAGGTTTAAAGTGTAAGAGAAGAAATATTTAAAGAAAAGAATTTGAAGAAGAAAAGAGGTTTAAGAAGAAGGAAGAATTCAGAGAAGTTCTCTTCTTCTTCTTCTTCTTGTAACGGCATTCACCCGGGGTGGGTTGAGCCGGCTCCAATATTCGAGTTTCATGGGAATTTGGAATTCACAAGCAGTCCCCAAACCCGCATGTATAGCACATGAGATTTGATCAAGGTGATGAAGGTTTCGTGCAAGACCATCCACACTTTTTGAAGGGCCGATTACAGAGACCTGGTGCACTACGTGCCACAAGGTCCCCAAACGACCCTCCGCAGGTTTTGAATTTAGAGTTTTCCTTCTCCTAGACCAGTTGCCATCCAAGGCTATAGAACCCAGTCTGTCCTGCTATTTACCCATAGCTGGAGGGAGAAGAAGAGGATTCACACCTTTCCCAAGGGTATTAGCACGTTAAATTCAAAGAAGTAGAATGTCTTAAAGAATTTGAAGAATTTGAAGAAGAATTCAAAGAAGAAGAAGAATTCAAAGAAGAAGAAGAATTCAAAGAAGAAGAAGAATTCAAAGAAAAGAATTCAAAGAAGATGATGAATTCAAAGAAGAAGATGAATTCAAAGAAGGAAAAAGTTTATGGTGAAGGTAGAGGAATAATTTAAAGAAAGAAAAGAATTTGAAGTGAAGTATTTGGAGAAGAAGAATTTGAAGAAGAAAGATGTTAGACAACGGCTTTCGCTGGTGGCATTGAAAGGAACTGAATAGAAAAATAAATACCTTTGGCACCGAAGAATTTGTGATACAAGGATTGGTAGAAGAGTTGGATCCATTCAAAATGGCGGCATTGTTGAAATCCTCGATGATACTGGGGAGAGTGCTGGAATATTGAGTTGACTTGTTACCACTTAATCCTCAGTGCAAGCCGACACATAATAATGCCGTGAAAAATCATTGAGTGATTAATAAGAAAAAACAAATACAGAAAGATAATAAATGGAAGCTCCCACCCGCGCTTAAACACGTAAATACACACAGACAAATCCCAGAAGGAAAATGGTCGCTTCCGGCTCTTCTGTACAAAATCTCTCGGTGAAATCATTTCACGTTTCAGTAAAAACCTTTGCTTCACTGATCCTCACTAATTGTAGATGGGTGGAGGGAATTTCAATCGTTTT